GCAGGGAAAAGATTTCAGTCACCAATTAAAACAAAGAAAGAACAATCATGATCACTTCAAAATTAATAAGGAAATACAATTTTTAAAATAGAACTTGTTTTGTTTGGAGTTTTTTCGATGGTTGTTTAAATTATACTGGTGACAGCTTAAAACATACACAGATGCTGGCAGAAAAAGGGAATAATATTTACCTGGAATGAAGCTTTTGCATTCCTTCTGAATTCTAGTTTATCAGAAAAAAAGATACATTAACTTTTTTTTTTTTTTGCTCTGTTTTGTTTGTGAGTATATATGCATCTCTGCTGTTCCTTATTTCTGCCAGGACCAGAATTAGTAGGCAAGAAAAGCTGTTGTAGTATTTCACAAAGCCAGGCAATATCCAAAGTCTCTTGCAAGAGCTTTTCTCCTGAGATTTCCTGACAACAGAGTTTTAGTTAAATGCAGATAAGCCTTGTATAAGTATCTGAACTTTAGATGGCTCATCTAAACCAGAACATCTCAAAACTTCTGGTATTCAGTCTCACTAGTTTTTGTCATGTGCTTACCTCTCCAGAAGAAGGTACTGGCAGTCGTATTTTGCTGCCCTCCTTACCTCAGTTTCTCAGAGGTGATAGGATGAGCTGACAAATTCTTCTAGAGTCAGCATCACCGTAAGCACATGCTGCATCTGGAACAACATGGAGAAAAAACTTTTAGAGCACTTTCCTCCTCCCCTTCCTCAGTAACTTACATGCATCCCTAAATTTAGCTTCCACTCAGTGCTGACAGAGTAGCACACTGGTCTCACCAGGCCTGTTTTCAAGTGCTGCATTGTTAGCATGTTTCTGTTATCTCCCCTCCCCCTGTTGTCCAAGAATTGGTTGATGTCCCATGAGAATACAAAGACATTGTCAAAGCTGGTAAAGGCAATTTGGATTGAAACTTGTTGAATCTCATTTGGATTTACATTGGTGTCCTCAGTCCCTTAACACTTATTGAGAAATAAGTAATTCCATTTCAGATGTTTCTTTGCTGTAGGGCTCTTCTCTTTGCTCCAGTCACTTCTCAAGAAAACTGTTCCATGCAGCTTCTTTTTTTTCCTCCAGGAAACATTTTTTACCTGAATTTCTCACTCAGTGGAACATCACTGCTTTAATTCACCCTTCTTATGCTCACAGGTTTCCTCCGTGTACTACCTAAAGCTCCACTTCTGCGTAGAGTCTGCGGAAAAACTTGACCAAACGCAAAGTCCATTGCTTGTCTTGCTGATCAGTCCTGTCATCTTGTACTCTGCCATATCAATACATCCCTCTTTCATTCTTGTAAGGCATTGTAAGCTTTTGAAGGTGAGGTCTTTTTGTATGCCTATCTCTTACACCCTATACAAAAACATGTGGTTCAGGATTAGCGCTCCTGGTGAAAAAATTAATTACATTGTCAAGAAACAGTAACAATAGCAACAGATTTTTTTAATAGTCATTTGCACTTGAATTCCGTATTGTAGTCAACCCTGAATCATCAAAAATACCTTGTGTTTCCTTGCGTAATGCACTGTTCATACATACTACGATCCCTCTTTATGCAGCTGAGCCATGGACATTTGTAGTCTTGCTGCTTTTCCTAACTAAAAAAATAAGTACTTTCAATTAACAGATGGGGTTACATTTTACAGTACAAAAGACCTGCCTAAGTTCCTGTTTAATTATTTGCTCTGCCTCTTAATTTAGCTGTGTACATATCTGGAGAAAACCCCGTCCATTTACTGCTTCAGAAATGACAATGTTAAATGTTAAATATACACTTAATATGCAACAATCTAAATGTAAGCTACTCCAATTGAGAGGAAATAAATTTATTCAAGAAATGGGTTTGCTTCCTTAAATCATAAGTATCTCTTTCCATAATACATATTTACCAAGTCCATCATTCTCATTTACATAAACTTTTGTCAGTAGTAGATGTAAGGGACACCAATGGGGATAGGCACTGTTGAGATGTGAATGAAAGCCTTGTGGCTGTTTGACTTAATTAAGTCAGAATATCTTTCATTGGGCAGTGCTAATGGGAAATAGGGGCCACAGTCCTTTAATACCTCTATGTAATCATCCTATAGAAAATTTGTAACAAATATAGATGTCTCTAGGCTCCCTGGACACTCTGAATACTGCAACTTGAGAGCTTGACAGAAGAAAATTATGTAATTGGAATTAATTGGTGGAATGACTTAGCAATAAAAACTCTGCAGCCAGGGATGCAGCCTCCTTGTGCCTTAGCCTATTTGCAGTAGAAATTCCTGCTACTTTCTGTACATCCCCCATATAAAGCTCCACTTCTCAAAGCTCGATGTCTCAGCTCATAGCTCTCAATACTCACATGGCTCTGAATTTTGCTATGAAACGTAGAGGAGATTTCATATGGCTTAGCTGGGCTCCAGAAGCATGCAACATGCTACGCATTCACAGGCAGAAATGTTTCTCTGATTAGAAAATCCTCATGGCTGTGAGGACCTTGGGCTTACAAATTATTCCTGTGTGTCACCTGGCACTAGAAGTACAAGAAAGCTAGAAAATTAATCTAATTGGAAGAGTAGAGCTGTTAACAGCTTCAGCAGAACTGATGCACTCAGAAAAAAATGGAAATCATAGCAATACCATCAGCACTTCTGTCTCTGGTTACTAATAGTAAAGGCTAGTAGAAGGAAGACAGATAGAAGGAAGCTTTTCTTCTGACAATAATTGGTAGACTTGATCTGTTTAACATTTTTGGTTAAATCAGATAGAGTAAGCAAACACGTAAACCATGTTTTAGAATTTAGAAGAGTTGTGCATTGCAGGTAGAAATGAAACGCTGAAAAGTCATAGGTAGCAGAGGAAAGTAGAGCTGTGAAACAGCTTCTGTGTAATCTGAGGCTGAGGAGTCTTCCACTTTGAGGAGGCAGCCTAACATGAGTCTCTGGAACAGCACGTCAAAGAGAGAGAGAGACTCCTGGAAACCCTAGAGCTAGACAATAAAGAGAATATTAAAATATACAAACAAATGAAGCTCCAAAGAAGTCTGTGGAGGATGAACAGTAGTCTGATGTTCTATATGTCCTTAAGAAACCTGAGTATCGTAAAATGTGCTCATAACACAAAAGAATTTGAAGCTCGAAATCCAGTATG